CAGGTCCCCTCATCTGACCCGCCCCCCAGGTGCTCTCATCTGACCCTCTCCCAGGTCCCCTCGTCTGACCCCCCCAGGTCCCCTCGTCTGACCCCCCACCCAGGTGCCCTCATCTGACCCTCCCCCACCAGGTGCCCTCATCTGACCCCCCCCAGGTCCCCTCATCTGACCCCCCTACCCAGGTACCCTCATCTGACCCTCCCCCAGGTGCCCTCATCGGACCCCCCCGCAGATACCCTCATGTGACCCCCTCCCCAGCTGTGAAGGATGCAGCCTGTCCCCCTCTATCTTCCCCAACAGGAAGGAGACAGAGTTTTCACCACCAAAACAGTCACAGGGGGCTATGCTGAGTACACCGTTGCCTCTGAGCACACTGTTTTCCTGCTGCCGGAGAATCTGAACTTTGGTCAAGGTGCATCCATTGGGATCCCCTATTTCACGGCCTTCCGTGCGCTGATACACAGGTAAGGACCTGCCGGGGTGGGCTTGGCTACTGTCCTTTCTGACGTTTGTGAAGTGCTGTTCCCGGTCCCCAGCCCGGGGACTTCTGAGAACGTCCCACACAGTGCTGAGTGGGAATCGAGCCCGGGTCCATGGAGGCCCCAGGTCTGGATCGACGTCCTTTGGCCGCAGCCAGGTGACCTCTCATCCCCAGGGGGCCGGGCCGGAGGCTCCTTTGCTCAGAGCGCTCCCCGCCCCGGCCTGTGGAGCAGGGCCCCCCATCCTTTGTGCTGCAGCCGTGGTCGAGATGCCAGCCTGCAGAACTGAAGCCATTCGGAGCCGGGCAGCCCTGGGTTCAGGCCTTGCCTCTGACTCCTGCTGGCCATGGCCCCTCTTAGAACCCTGGGACTGGACATCAGGAGATGGGGGCTGTCAGGCCACCCTGCTCCAGGCTGTCCAGGCCTAGTGGCCTGGCCTTCCCAACAAGCCCCTGAACAGCCATTGGACTCCGTACCTGGGGGAGGGGCCCAGCCCAGGGACAAGCGGGAGGTCATCGGGGCTCTGTTCTCTGTTCCAGTGCCCGGGCCAAGGCTGGAGAGACTGTCCTCATTCACGGGGCCAGCGGAGGAGTAAGTATTCTCCAAAGTATGACGTGGGAATGGTGTGGCAGCTGGGTGCTGGTTCCTGCTCGAGGGTCCAGAAGGACCACACCCGGCATTTGCCTTTGTCAGGCCTGGAGAGAGGCAGGTGAGGGGGTGGGAAGCCCCCGTGCCCAGGTCAAGCACTGGCACAGAGTCTTTGGGTCCCGAGGCCCCAGGACCCCCTGTCGTGCCATGTCAGCTTCCCAGGGACAGTGGCTGTCCCTGCCCACAGGATGGTTGGGTGCTCCTTAGACTCCGCAGCTATGGCCGCTGCAGGGAGGCGGCTCTTGGACTACACGTTTGCTGTGTGAGCGTTTCTTCTTTTCTGTGGAGGGAGAGCAGATTGTTGTCCACGTAAAAAGATAAGCTTGGGGGCAGCTAGGTGGCACAGTGGATAGAGTACCGGCCCTGAGTTCAAATCCGGCCTCAGACACATAACACTCACTAGCTGTGTGACTCTGGGCAAGTCACTTAACTCCGACTGCCTCACCAAGAAAAAGAAAAAAAAAAAAGAAATATAAACTTAATTTTTAAAATTGCCCTGGTTGGGGCTTCAGCACGTGGTTAGTGGTGGATGAGGCCTGGCCACGCTGGGCTCCCTCTCTGCCTCTGACCTGGACTGCCCTGTGTGACCCTGGCCAAGGCACTGACCTTTCTGTGCCCTGGGGAGGCCAGAGAGGGTACTCCCAGGACTTTTGCAGATAGCTGCACTGATCAAGAGAGGGGCTTTGCCCCAGTGCAGTCAGAGAATGGGCCATCTGAACAAGCCTGACAGCTGGACCTCTCAGGGAGGGTACTTCAGGCTTTGCCCTGGATAGTTCCCAGTGCCTTCTGGGACGTTCACTTCCCGGCCCAGCCATTGGCTCACCTGCTAAGCTTACATCATGATGCTCCGGAGGATGTGGGCTCCCCGCATAGATGGCTGGCTAGCTGGCTTGGCGTGCATGGATTCAGAGAGGGGCTCCTTGGAGCAAGAGCCCCAGGACCCCTGCTGTCACCAGCTGGTTGAAGGAGCCCCCCACCTCCCAGAACCTGGGAGACACAACTTAGCATCTTCAGACGGGAGGCCAGCAGGGTCCTTGCTCCTGGGCCTTCCCAGCATCAGGCTGGTACCGATAGACCAGGAATCGTGCGTCAGCCCCCCTGTGTTCATACCTTTCCACGAGGTGACCGGGCAGCACCCACAGCGCCCAGTCTGCTGCTGAAGGGATCTGAAGTGGCTGAGCCAGGCATCGCCCTTGTCTCCTCTCAGCTGAGCCAAGGATCAGGCTGTTCAGAGACCATTGGCTTTCAGAGCTGGTGTTGCTTCTGAACTTGGTACACAAAGAAAAGGGGAGCCAGTTTCCCCTGGGGAGGGCGCTGGCAACTGGCTCTGCCTGGGCGAGGAATTTAATTGGTTTATTTGATAGGTCAGCCACATCACGAGCTCCCCTTCTCTGACTCCCCCAGTTGGCTGTTTGAAGGTGGATTAAATAAAACTTGGATTGGCCAGAACATGTCCAATAACCCCAGTTACCCTCTAATAGACTTTGAGAGAGCTCACCTTGGTATGCTGTATAACATACAAATCTGTGTGGGAATCGGAGGGAAGAGCTTAGCAGAAATCCCTGTTATCCCCAGCGCCCTTGTAGAATGCCTGGCCCCTGAATAGCAGTTTTAAAAAGCAGAAACCAGGCACTGTTTCCGAGCGGGTTCAATGTTGGTTAAATCCCTTGGATTACAGTAGCAGTGAGAGAGGCTGGGGGGGGCCCGATGTGGGAAGCCACATCCAAGGGAGCCGGAGGGGTACCTGGCTCAGTCATCTCTCTGCCACGGCGGCCTGCTGCCTCACTGAATTCTAGCTTCTCTAGGCCTGTTTGGAATATGGCCCTAGACTACCTGTGGAAGCCTGTGCTTGCATCACTTGGTGAGGGCACCCAGCTCGAGGTGGCTGTCCAGCAAGGGGAGGACAGAAGAGGTGTGGGCCACCACAGGCTGGGGTGATGGGGCAGCTAGTCTATCCCTAAGTGGAACTGAGAGAAACCTGCCCCCCTGGACCTCCTTCTAAAGATAAATAGTAGAGACTGTACAGGTGGCTCCATAGTAGTGTGTAAAGACCGCTAGTCTGGAGGCAAAGGTCCCATGTTCAAATTGTGCCTCTGATGTAAACACCACATGGGCAATTTGCAGGCCTAAGAAATTTCCATTTCTTAGGCCTCAGTTTCCTCCTCTGTAAAAGAATCCTGTCCAGTCCCAGATCTGTGATTCTAGGACCTTGGACAAATCACCAATTCCACATGGTCCTCGGTTTCCTCAGCTGTTAAAAAATGGTTTGGAGTAGACGGCCTTGGAGGGCCGTTCCAGCTTTACGTCTGTGACCACAGATGATGATGATAACTGGCATTAATCTGGAGCCAGCTGTGTGCTAGGCGTGGCACTGAGCATTTTATAACTTATCTCATTGGATCCTCACGACAATCCTGGGAGACGGGTTTTGTTGTCATCTCTTTACAGTTCAGCAAACTCAGGCGAACACGGGTCACGTGGCTTGCTCGGGTCAGTGTCTAAGACCAGATTTGAAGTTGGGTCTCCTTGACTCCAGGCCTGGTGCTCTGCGCACTGTGCCCCTCATCCCACTTGCTAGCGCTATTGCCTTGGGTAATAGCATCACTAATTATCCCAGACCTCCGGTCTTGGAAGCCGGGGATTGGTCTAGATGGTCCCTGGGGCAGGGAGTGCAGGGAGTGGCCCCTTGGCTTATCCTGGAGTGCAGGGCCAGCTGTGCTGGAGGATTGGGCATGTGCTGAAAGCCAGAAGCTGCCATGGCAGGGTCCCGAGGAGGTGGGGTCTTGGCGGGTCCAGCTTGGCGCCAGTGCCCATCTAGACATCCCTAGCATCTGTGTCAGCCTCCTGTGTGATTCTCTTGACCTCTCGACCCGTGAGCCTGCAGAGGACAGGCGTCACGTATGAAGTCAGGAAGCTGACCAAAGAAACCCAAAGTGTTCTTTTTCCCCAGGTCGGAGTAGCGGCCTGCCAGATGGCCAGAGCTTATGGGCTCAAGGTTTTGGGCACAGCTGGTACAGAGCAGGGGAGAGAAATGGTGCTGAAGAATGGAGCCCACCAGGTCTTCAATCACCGAGAGGCTGATTATATCCAGAAGATCAAGGTAGGATTGCCCCTTGAGGAGATGTGAGCTCCCAGAGGGCGTGGGCTGTCTTTGGCTTGTTTTTGTGTCCCTAGCACTCAATGCATAGTAGGTGTAGTGGTGATAATGATAGCTAGCATTTGTCTATCTCCTACTGTGTGCCAGGCCCTGTGCTCAGCACTTCACAAGGATTCTCCGACTTGGCCCTCGGGACATCCTTGGGAGGGGTATGCTCTTATTAACCCCATTTTACAGCTGAGGAAGCTGAGGCAGGCAGGTTAAGTGATACTCCTGAGGTCACACAGCTGGTCAGTGTCCAAGGCTGGCTTCTGTGCTGCCTACAGAAATACTCGTTCACTGACTGACTCACAGTAGAGCTGGGCTGCAGGCCACCATCTCATGCTCGCTGCTTGTCCCTGGGACTTCGGGAAGGGAAGGAAAACTCTCTGGGCACGCAAGGGTGGCAGTGCTGCGTCATCCAGTAATGTGGGAGGGCAGCGATGGGGCTGCCACTTTGGAGGCTGGGGCCCCGTGGCCTGTATATCCGTCTTGCTGCTTGGTCAGTGGGCCCAGAGCATGCAGCGAGGCTGGTAAATACTTGTGAGCTAGGTGGGTACCCTCAGACCCGACTCTGAGCCTCAGTTTCCACATCTGTGAGATAGGGGTGCAGATTTCTCACCTGTCTCATGAGGTCGAGAGGCTCCAACTAGACTCTCAGCTCCAAGGCCCTGCTAGGCCTGGCTTTGGGAAGGGGCCCCTCCCGTGTGTCCCTCCTGGAACGCCGGCACACCTTGGCGAGGGGTGGCAGCTGCTGTGGCTCTCTGAGTCCTCTGTCCTTGGTGCTCGGCCATCCCTTCGGAGGGACCATCGCTCCATGTCACAGGGCGCTCTAAAAAATGTGTCTGTTTACCGTTGGAGTGCGTGACTGATCAGTGCACTTGTGTCGTGATGTAGGAATACGTCGGGGAGAGTGGAGTGAACGTGATCATCGAAATGGTCTCCAACATCAACCTCCAGAAGGATTTGCAGCTTCTCTCCTTCAAAGGAAGAGTCATAGTGAGTACTGGCATCTCCAGGACAAGGTTCCAGCTTCGCCCCGCCCCAGCCTTATGCTCCGTCCCCCTCTAACGTGAACCCCTTTTTGTGCCCAGATCGTTGGCTGCAGGGGCCCCATAGAGATAAACCCCAGGGACACCATGAAGAAGGAGATCAGCATCATCGGAGTCTCCTTATATTCCTCCCTCAAGGTAAGTGCCCGACACCTTTCCATGGGGTCCCCGAGGAGGGTCTCTCAGTCCTGGACCTGGGCAGGCGGTCTGCGGAAGAAGGAGTCTGCGGATCCTTTACCAAAACGTATCAAATACGCTGGGTTATGAAGACGCCCGAGCAGAGGGGAAGTGAGTTCTCAATGTCCACAGACTTCACGTGGCACCCAGAGGGTGTTTAAAGGGGTCAGCGCCCCCATGCCCAGACATCTGAGTGCCTTCAGGGCTCCTGCATCCCTTTCCCTCTGGGAACGCCTTTGTTCCAGTGCAGACAACACTAAATCACTACGTTTTTGCATTTCCCACAGGAGGACTACCTGCAGTCTTCGGCTGCGCTGCTGGCTGGCATGGAGACGGGCTGGCTGATTCCAGTGATCGGGCCTCAGTACCCGCTGGAGAATGCCGAGCAGGCCCACGAAGACATCATCAAGAGCCAGGGGGCTTTGGGAAAGATGATTCTCGTCATGAACTGATGCTGCCCAGTCCAGTGAGGACCGTGGCTGCAGCGAGAGGTTCTTCTGCCCTTCCCGCTGGAGCCCGTGGGCATCAGGCAGCGGTGTGCCATCGGGCCTTCTCCGTGCCTGGGCCCACCCAGGCCTCTCTGCCTTATCACTGTCGACCTTAGTCAATAAAGTAGAATATTAACAATGGCTCCCAATGTGTGCTACTCTTCAGGGGGGTGGAAGGAAAACCCTTGACCTCAAGTCTGGGTTTTTGCTCCAGGCCAAAGGGGAGAAAAAGCATCCAGAAAGAGGGAGGGACATCAGCGTCCAGGGCAAAAGGGAGAGAGGCCAAAGAGTGGAGGGCTGCCAAAAAAAATGAAAGCCCGAACTGGGCAAGAAGGAGGTTGATAATCATTTAAAAAAAAAATACAGAGATGCCATGTGATTGCTCCGAAATGTGTTAGGCAAGATCTGGTTCCAGCTCCAGTGTTCTTGGCACGTCACTCCTTCCCTCCAGGTACTTCTGGTCAGCCCTCAAGTGCTTTGTGCACGCATGAAGGCCATCTTCTTCATGCCGAGACTGTTGCCCTGCACCTAGCACCTAATGGGTTCAAAGGAAGGACCTTGGCCACATAGAGAGATCTGTAGGAAATAAAAGGGTGGAGAGGCAGTTGAAGTTCTAAAACACCACGAAATACTAAAACCAAATCAAAAGAATGGAAAATAGAAGAGAATCTGAAACATCCCGTTAGAAATTAACAACTGATCTGGAGAACAGATTGAAGAGAAATAACAGAAGAATAGTTGGGCTACCTGAGAATTACAATAAAAAAAGAAATTTTCAAGGAAAATAGCCCTGAAGTTCTAGAACAAAAGGCAAAGCAGAAATAGAAAAAAATCCACTGATTGCTACCAAGAAAGAGTTCCCAGGAGGAAAACTCAACTGGAATATCATAGCCAAGTTTCAGAGCTCCCAGGTTAAAAACAAAATACTGTGAACAACATGGAAAAAAAGAAACAAAACCAATTTAAATATGGAGCTACAATAAGTTTTATGCAAGACTTAGCAGCTGCTACATTCAAGGACTGTAGGTTTTGGAATACTATGTGTCATAGAGCAAAAGAGTTGGGGTGACAACCAAGGGTAACCTAGCAAGCAAAGTTAAGTATAATCTTGAATGAAAAGAAATGGATACTTAACACACTGAAAGACTTTCAGGTATTTGTGACACAAACAGCAGAACTTAAGGGAAAATTCTACATATAAGATCCAGGATAAATAGAAGGTAAACATTAAAGACTAATGATAAGAGACTCAAGGAGGTCAAATTGTTGACTTTGTATATGTGAAAATATTATCAATACTCTTAGGACTTTCACCATTATTTGGGCAGTTTGAAAGAAAGGGTTAGGGTTAGGGTTAGCTGTGTATGATGGAGTGAGTCTGAAAAGAAACATGTAGGATACAAATTAAAACAATTCTGAGGTACCATATCACACCTATCAGATCAGCCAACATCACAAAATAGGAAAATGATAAGTGATGGAGAAGATGTGGGAAAATTGAAACACTAATATGTCGTTGGTGGGGTTGTGAACTGATCCAACCATTCTGGAGAGCCATTTGGAAATATATCCAAAGGGTTATAAAACTGCATACCCTTTGACTCAGTAACTCAGTCACTTATAAGTCTGTATGCCAAAGAGATCATAAAAACGGGAAAATGATCCACATATACAAAAATATTTATAGCATCTCTTTTTGTGGTGGCCTAGAATTGGAAATTGAGGAGATGTCCATCCACTGGGGAATGGCTGAGCAAGTTGTGGTATATGAATGTGAAGGAATACTATTGTGCTATAAGAAATGATGTTCAGGCTGACTTTAGAAAAACCTGGAAAGACTTACATGAACTGATGCTGAGTGAAGCGAGCAGAACCAGGAGAACGTTGTAGACAGTAACAGCCACGCTGTGTGATGACTAACTTTGATAGACTTAGCCCTTCTCAGCAATGTAAGGATCTAAGACGTCTCCAGAGGCCTTGTGATGGAAAATGCTCTCTACATCCCGAGAAAGAACCATGGAGTCTGAATGCAGATGGAAGCAGACTGTTTGCTCTCCTTTTCTTTCATTACTTTGTTTTGTTTCTTCTTTCTTGTGGTTCCTTCCATGAGTTCTAAATCTTCTTTACATCATGACTAATGTAAAAATATGTTTAATATGAATGTATAAGTAGAACCCATATCAGATTGCATGCTGTCTTGGGGAGGGGAGAAGGGGGGAGGGGGAGAAAATTTAAATCAAAATCATACGGAAGTGAATGTTGAAAACTAAAAATAATTTTAAAAAATTAGATAAAATGGAGTAATTATCTCATACAAATGAGGCATAAAAGGAAGAATTCATACAGAAGAAGCTAGTAGGGGGAGGGAGGGTAGTAGTGGAACCTTAATCCCATTGGGAGTAGGTTAAAGAAGGAACAACATATATATATATCTAAAAGGGTATAAAAGTCTTCTAAATGCAGAAAGAAATGAGGGCAAGGGAAGAGGGGTGAAAGGAGAGAATAAGGGAGGGACTCTTTGAGGGGTGGGTAGGTTAAAGAATAGGAGGGCAGGTAGCAGGTGCAGTAAAGTAGAAGAGTGAGGAGGGATAGGGAAAATAGGGTGAGAAAGATAATGAGGAAAATAGGGAGAAAAATGCACAAGTAATTGTAGCTTAGAATGTGAATGGGATGAATTTACCCATAAAACGGAAATGAATAGCAGGTTAAAAATTTGAATTCAATAATAGGTTGCTTTGAGGAAACACTATGAAAATGAGACACAAAGATAAAATAAAGGGCCAGAGTATTATTTATTATGTAAAAAAAGCAGAGGTAGTAATCATGATCTTAGGCAAAGTTAAAGCTAAAATAGATTTAATCAAAGAGAAAAATAGGGAAACTAAACAATGTTTCAGCAATATTATTTAATATTGTTTTAGACCATTTAAAATTATTAGACAATATAAAATGCCTGAGAGTATACCTGCCAAGACAGACACAGGAACTGTATAAACATAAACATAAAACACTTTATACAAATAAAGTTCAGATCTATTTAATTAGAGTAGTATTTATTGTTTATGGGTAGGTAAAGCCAATATAATAAAAAATGACAATTTTATCTAACTAATCTGTTTATTCAATGCCATCCCAGTTAAATTACTAAAAAAAAATCTTTCTGAGTTAGAAAAAATAATAATAAAATTCATTTGGAAGGACAAAAGGTCAGGAATTTCAAGGAAACCAGGGAAAAAAGATGTAAAGGAAGCAGATTCAGCAGTATCCAATCTTAGATATATTATAAGGTGAGAGAGCATTGTTGAAGTATGAAATGGATAATTCCAATTATTTTAAATCAAGATTTTCTTGTATAAATAAAACCTGTGTAGCCAGGAATAGAGGGAGTGCAGAAAATTGGGAAAAAAACTTTCATAGACAGTCTCTCAGACACAGAACTGGAATACTGCTGTGGTGTAGGAAATGATGAGCTGGTGGATTTAGAAGAACATGGAAAGATTTGGAGCCATGAAGGAAGGCACTGTCCACCTTCAGAGAAAGGCCGATGGGAGGACATAAGCGTAGTCCGGTCTTACGAATGTCTATATGTCTGTAGACATCTGTGTACATATGCCTTTCTCCATCCGTGTTTAATTGTAACCTTCTCTAGGTCGGGGTGGGAGAAAAAGTAAAGTAAAAAGAGCCCAGTGGAGAAGGAAGGAAAACATGCTAGAGAGCAGAGATAAGCTGGACAGCCTTGAAAACAATGGCCAGTATTTATTCTATAGGTTTTCTTGAAATGGAAACTGACTGTTTTATCTTGAATCCCATCTTATGTTCTGTTGTGTACACGGCAATGTTCTTTTTTTTTTTTCTTTTCTCATTTTTATTTGTTTAAAATGAATTTTAAAAATTATTTTAAAAAGGAAAAAAGAAATCAAAGGGGATGTTTTCAGAGGACTAACTGCTCTGGAAGGTTCTTTGTGAGCCTCGATGTCCGAGGGGCCTCCCCAGGGCGTCTGGGATCAGATAAAAGGTCACTGGGGAACACTGAACATGATAAACAGAAATCCCGCCAGCAGAGATCACGTTCATTGGAGACGCTTTTCCACTTGAGTTGGACAGCGCTGCCCTAGGCCCGGAGCTGGCCTGGGATCATCGGCTTAATTCAATGACATGAGGCAATTCACCGAGTCTGGTGGGGAGGCTCCCTCCCGTCCCCAGATGGCCCCGTCCTGCCAGCCAGCCTCTCACACTCTCCCGAATCAGGTCTGGCCCCAGGCAGTCCCTGTCCTGGGGCAGTTCTCAAAAACCCTTCATTTGAGGAGCATGGCATCATTCTTGCATTCAGGTGACTGCTTCCAGCATGGATTGATCCCTGACCTTCTGGACCCTAGAATGGGCTTTTATCAAGCTCGGTTGCCTTGTTACCCATCCCCATTTTGACTCAGTCTGACCCATTTGGACCTCTGGAAATCGCAGCATTTAAAATCCTCACCTCCCACGTCCCCGGCCTTGACTCCAGGTGACACTCAAGTTTCGATCCCCATGTGCGTTCTGGACCGTGTGAAACAGGAAAGCCTTCGCCTCCCTGGCTGGGGCTCACACTCCACCAGGACGCTCTCCCTTGAAGGAGGGATTCCAGCAGAGTTCAGGAGGGTGGTGCATCCTCCAGAACCTCACTTTGCTGCTGTTTCAAAAGGAGTGAAGGAAGGAGACACTTCCTCTCAAAAAGGGGGACAGGAAGAATGAGCTCTCCCACCGGCAGCTTCCTACCTGTGAAGGAAATGCCCTCGAGGTTTGTGGAATGACGTGGGAGCAGCGCCGGGCTCTTCTCAGTCTGACGGGGTCCTTTGCCTTTTTAGGATGGTGGAACCTTATTGGTTCAAGTGCCCCAAACCAGTCCATTTGAGGTTGTCCTCTTCCACGGCCTAACGCCGATCTGTGTCTTCCACGCGAGCTCCCAAAGAGAAGACCGGTGTATTCTTTCCCTTCAGAGAGATCCCTCCAGCCTGAAGAATATGCCTCTTCCAGGTAAAGTAGGATATGAATTATGCTCAAGGGAAGCGCTGTAGCAGAAATAATAAATATGAATAGCTCACCGTAAGAGTTTAATACGAACATTCAAAATAAGTATCTGTGATTTCTGATTAAATCTTTGAGT